TTACATAAATTAATTTTTTATCTTAATAAGTTTTGTCAGAAATATTTCTTTAAATAACTTGTTGAGATCTTATTACAATCTTATTAAGAAATAAATGACGGGAAAAAATACAAATTTATAAAGATCTTAAAAGATCTTGCTAAGATCTTATTAAGTTAAATTCAAATAACGTTTTTCTCTTTCCTTACGAGAATTTACTAAAATCTCTTTCGGTCGTCTGTTTTTCATTCCGCGCCAATTTCTTTAATTGCTGTTGGAGATAAACCAAAATAAAGTTTTTTATACTTTTAATATTTTTTAAACATTTGCAAAGAAAAATATTATATCTAGTCTGGAAATAATAACTTCTATTTAATAAGATTTTACTGCATTTTATCGCGTTTCAATAGAAAAATAATATCTGCATCTTAATCAATAATCAATTTTTCTATATTTGTAGTTATAGTTAATTATAACTTTTTAATTATAACTTTTTAAGTAAATAAAAATAAATTTATAAAATAATTGTATAAATTCAATTTTCATTTTATGATGTAAATATATATATATATATATATATATATATATATATATATATATATATATATATATATATATATATATATATATATATATATATATATATATATATATATATATATATATATATATATATATATATATATATATATATGAGGAGCAAACATTCAAACCGTGTTTTCTCCAAAAAAAATAAAAACTGAGTTATTGATGGTTTCTTGTAGTCCATGTTAAATAGCACCAGATTCAAGCTTTAGTTTCAGTCAAATCATGCTTTATCCTATTTAAAAACAGCGTGCAAAACTAACTGTTCAATCAAAGAGTGTTTTCTCCAAGGTCGGTGTTCAGTCAAACAGTGCTTTCTCCAGCTGACCAATGGGAGCGGTCCTCTATGATCACATGACTAGTTGGCATAAGCTGTTTTAACACGTGGTTCAGTACTGAAAGTAAGGTTATGGTAGGTAGTTCACTAATACTATAGCTCTACAATTTTATTAGTTTCAATCTTTCGATTTCAAATGGATGAAGTGGTTGATGGTATTTTAGTAAGTATTGGAAACACTGGAGCTCGTAAAAGACAGGCAACTGGCAAAAGAAGAAAAGAAGAAAAACAGAAGCGTTATTCATCACCTGCAGGAACCAATGTATACATTCCGTGCAAGCATTCAACAAAGAAGTTCTCATGTTGTGATATTAGACCTTACGATGTAAAGAAACTGAGGGACAAACTTTATAAAGCTCCTGACAAACTTCGTCAAGATTCAATAATTAGTTCTCTAGTTGAAACAAAAAATGTTATTCGACGAAGGCCTAATAACCCTAACCTAAACAAGTCGCATAAGTCAAGCTCTCAACATGCCTTTTCTACAAACTACTTCATTGTTGGAAATAAAACGAGAATTCCTGTTTGTAAGAATAATTTTATTGCCATTACTAAAGTAGGAAGGACAAGATTGGCCAATATTGTTTCCAAAATCCATGCTGGAGATCCTATTGAGGATAGAAGAGGAGGTGATAGGAAAAGTAGCCACAGCATTGATAAAAAGAACAAAGTGAGAGATTTCATTTCTAATTTGAAGGCATCAGAAAGTCACTATGGGAGAAAAAAATCTAGACGTTTGTATTTGAACTGTAAATTGAATATAAGAAAGCTGCACCAAATTTATTGTGACCAAATAAAGGATGATTTGTACAGAGTGAGTTTTGCCATGTTCAGGAGAGTGTTTGTTAATGAATTTAACATTGGCTTCAAATCGCCATCAAGTGATGTTTGTAGCACGTGCGCCCTTCTAGACCAGAAAATTAAAACATTGCCATCAGGATCCATGGAACGTGTAAACCTTATGACTCAGAAAAGGATTCATAAACTTAGGGCAAATGCATTTTATGCGTACATGAAAGAAAAAACCGATGAATCTGTGTGCAGTTTGTGTTCTACAGCAAATACAACAATTGCCAAAAACAAACATTCAAGATGCATATTATCTGAGGCAGTTGAATTTTTATAGTCTATGTATTACTAGTTTGGATGGCAAAACCCCAACATTTTATACGTGGTCTGAAGAGCAGGCAGGAAAAGGCAGTACCGAAATTTCCTCAGCTCTACATTCTCACCTAAGAACAATGAATCTTAAAGGAATCAAGACTTTACGACTTTTTTGTGACGGATGTGTTGCCCAAAACAAGAACAATATCAACCTTCAAATGCTTTTGCACTTTCTCTACTCTTCAAATAATGCTGACATTCAAGAAATTCAACTCTACTTTCCGGTCAGAGGCCATAGTTTTCTGCCAGCAGATCGTGTGTTTGGTAGGGTTGAGAAAATCCTTAGGAAAAGTGTAACAATAATATCCAAAGAACAATATCATGAAATTTACAAGAACATTGGAGCTGTAAAAGTTATGGGTGTTGATTGGGAACTTCTAAATACCAAATCACTCAACAGTTTCTTCAAAAATCTTTCATACATATCAGAATTGAAAAGGATCTTTCTCAAGAAACACCCAGGAACAGGAGCTGTCAAGGTCAAGGGCTTCAGAAACTATAGATTTGAAGATGGAAGTGAGCAAGCTGGAGAAGGACTCCTGAAAAGAGGAATAAAAGTTTCAAACGTCAGAAATATAACTTTAGAATCTCTTCCACTAAATCGTCCCATTTCTGCCGAGAAGAAAAAAGATGTTGAGAAACTCTTGAAACTATTATATGGCGATGGATGGCAGAGTGAGCCTGATTTTGAATGGTACAGGAAAATATTATTCGATGAACAAGACGGGAATGAAGAGGAAGATGAAGTGTGTGACTGTTTGGATGAAGATATTGGAATGAGAATTTAAGTTGTTGAGTATGTATTAGTATTGTGTTTTATGTTACCATATTTTTTAATTTCTTAATTTGTGTGTTGCGTTATTTCAAAATTTTTCAAATTCTTGAATTGCACCAATAAACCCCATTGACTTTGTGTTATTCGTTTGTTGTATTACTTAAATCATTCAAAAAGTGTTTTATCCTTGTGAGACTCAATCAAAACATGTTTTCTCCTTAGTATTCTGTCAAAATGTGTTTTCTCCAAAAAATAAATGCATTTTTTTCATTTGTTTTCAAACAAATATCTAAAATAATGTATCAGAATACTCCTCAGAGCTATTAAGAACAATAGAAAACGATAACTTTGATTCATGACAGTTCTTTAAATTTTTATCAGTTTTTTGCGTTTCCTGTAAATTCTCATCTGAAGGAGAAAGCACGGTTTGAACGTTTGCTCCTCATATATATATATATATATATATATATATATATATATATATATATATATATATATATATATATATATATATATATATATATATATATATATATATATATATATATATATATGTATATATATATATATATATATATATATATATATATATATATATATATATATATATATATATATATATATATAAAACAAAATGGAAAAAGAAGTTTATAATTTAAAATGGTTATTGTGATAATAGCTAATCGTCATAAAACTTTAATGTTACGTTTATAATTTATCTTGTCAGAATATTATCAAAGTTATGATTATATTGATGTGATTCATAGTCATAGAATCATAGTCATAGAGTCATAAAGTCATAGTCATAGAGTCAAAAGCTATTTTTGAATATAATTACGCCCTCAAGAATTTTTGTTTCTGTATAAACGCTGTAAATAGAATTTAACAAAAAAACTTGAAAATAAAAGTAAACTAAGTTGTCGTATATCGGTTATTTCTATATAACGTTGTCGTATTTCGGTTATTTCTAAATAGCTATTTCGGCAGTATGGCATCCATGGCAAAAATGATTGAAGAATTTAATTGATCTAAAAGTGTTGTTGAGTATCTGAAAAAGATCAAACTGGTGGGAGAGCTGCAAAAGATGGGCAATCTTTCATTGATCATTCCGTTGTTTCTTAATGGCAGTGCGTTCGCATAAAATGAGCAACTTGGGAAGAGCCAACACACTTCCGCTGCGGATATTGAAAAAGCTCTACTAGATGCATTTGCAGTCAATGGTTTTCTAGCATACGAGCAGTTCAGAGATAGGAGATGGAATGACGGTGAATCTGTCGATGAGTATTTGGCCAGTTTGCCAACTTATGGGTTTGGCCAATATTGAAAGCAAAGAATTAGAGCGTTCATAACTGGATTGCCGGGTGAAATTTCAATACAGCTACGAGCACAAGTGAAATTTTTAGGGATCAGTTTACAGGATGCATTAAACCATACTCATGACGGTATAAAAAAAAGAAGAGCATGTTTCAGCAACAATCATCTTGGTTCTATAAAAATGTTAGAAAACCATCCTCTACTGATTTTAACTTCTACAATTGTGAGAAGCCTGGACATGTTGTTCGAATCTGTTTTTCGAGGAAACAAATTGTTAGTGATATAAAAACAAATTGTTAGTGATATTTGAATAAAATGTTTCAGATGTGGAAAATCTGGACACATTGCAAGATTTTATTTGTCGCATCAGGGTCTTTTATTATTTTAGAGTAAGATTTAGGCTAAGATTTTAGGGTTTCTTGTTCCCATTCTCCTTTCACAGTAACTTTTTTTTAAAAGAATTTTTTTGTCATTCATATGAATGTTAAAAGATTTGGAATATTCTTGTGTTTATAAGTTGTTTATTTCAAACATTTAAAAACCTTCCTACGCCACTGGTATTATATTTATTACATATACTGTTACGATGAGCACTGTTATATTATTAGTTAGAAATTTTTTTCGAGAACAAATTAATTACATTACTAAATTGTTTTAGTTTTAGCATATGCTAATTACTAAATTTTACTTGTTAGCATAATAACTTGTTTTACTTGTTGGCATAAACCGTGATATACTTCTAGATCTTACTTATTTTTCCTAGACTTTGTCAATGGTTTTCAAACTTCTTAGAGCTGTGAAACTTTAAATATGCCATAATACCTGTCATAAAATACACTATGATACCTGAACAAGTTACATTTGAGTAACAATTTGCTGTTTCAATAGTGTTTCCAACACAAGAACTGCTTAAATCAAGACATAGTCTTATTCTAGTCATAGTTCCATTATCACAAGATACTGTACAACTTGACCAAATGCTCCAGTTTGACCAACCTGACTGCATTCCTGACAAAAAAAAAAATTATTTACCTTTATACAACTTATCTAATTTTTGTTTATTAATTCAGTTCTTTCTTACTCTTCTCTCTTAGTTCTCAGTTCTCTCTTACTCTTACGCATGTAAACAAAACAAATATGGTTTACTAGAATTTACGCCAAAACATTTTAGTGTAAATTTAAATGAAGTTTTTTAACAAACAATAAAAGCGATATCCCAAATGTATGTGCCGATGAAACAACATTTCTTTTGAATTGAATATCGAAAACTTGAATTTAAAAATATATGTTTAAAAATTATATAAAAACTAACCTAAATTTATATCTATATAAAGTTAGAGATATAAAGTAAAATACTAATATATTTAATATATAAGTATATCCTGATATATCTCAGCTAGCACGCACACGTAGATAAAACGTTAAAACAATGTTGCGCGTTGCTTTGACCCAAAAAAAAATGTTGCTTTAAAAATTTATTTCGAGAACAAATTAATTATAGTACTAAATTTGTTTTAGTTATTAGCATATGCTAATAACTAAATTTTTCTTGTTAGCATAATAACTAACTTTTAGTTGTTAGCATATGCTAATAAATAAAACAGTTACGTATTTAAATTATTTTCTTCTTGAAAAATATATTTAACTCATAAAAAAATATTGCTCATCTCAACATTAAATGTAATCCCTAAATTTTATAACACAAAAAGTACTTATGCTAATAATCTCAACTTATGCTAATAATCTCAGCTGTGAACTAGGTTTCATGTACGAAGTGTCAAAATTATATCATCAAACGCCAACGTTGTTTTTATAGCGCAATATTTTCCATTGTATTTTACGTTGGAGAAACGTTGTATTCTAAGTTGATTCAACGTTCGGTGTTCCACAAGGATATATTTTAGGACTGTTGGTGTTAATATTTTTTTAAATGACTTAGCAGACTCACTCAAATACTCGAATATTATAAAGTATGCAGACAAAGCAGTAATATATCTTTTAGCAAAGGATACAGATGTAATAGAAGATAAATACTTGGAAAAATTTCTCATTATTTTGATATCAAAGAACTTGTTATCAATCTAAGTAAAGGAAAAACTGAATCAATCCTATTTGGAAAACCAGTAAAACTGAAAAGTACTAAAGTTGTGTGCTTTTATAAATCTGGGCATTATTATAGACAACACCCTCACACAAGATATAATTTTGAATCTTCGTAGATGAAACCTAGCTAAGATTATTAACGGCTAAGATTATTAGCCAACTTAAAACCAAATATAAGTGAAGATGCCGCCAGAAAGTAAAGCCAAGGTTTATACTAGTATGATACCTTTAATTACCTACTCATGATCAATTCAACTACTTTATACCAAACGCAGATGCAAAAATTGTCTTCCATTGAAAAAAGAGTAAGCAAAAAAATTGCAAGAAATCTTTCTGTACAAAAAATAGAACAACTAGTCAAGAAAGTAGAGTTATTTATGAATTATTTCTGGTGAATTATTTCTGGTGGTTAGAGGCCGTAAAGCCGTTTGAGGCTCAAAAATTCATTAATACAGATGAACAAGAAATTGTTACAGTAAAATAAAGCTTACTCAAAAGATCCGGCAAACCGGATCAAACTCAAAAGATCCGGCAAACTCAGTCTCAAGGTGCAGAGCGATTTATCAGATGCCAATAATAAATGATAAGAAGCAGTTTCTTACAGAAAAATGCAGAAGTTTACTTTACGATTCATGATAAATTTGCAGAAAAAAATTTTTTTATCCAAATAAGTTTCAGATGATTCAAGCAAAACAGTTCTGGAAAAACTTTCTTCTTGATGGAAAAAGATTTGAAGTTCCCTCAAATTTACATTGCATTACAATGTAGGCTTTGACGCAACTTTAAGTCAGAGTATTTGAAAACCAAAATACAGTAACACAGATCTACAGTCGTGTGCAGTAAAATAGTAGTGCGCATTTTATTTTTCTATCAACAAACTTTTAACATCAAAATATATTTTTCTATTGTTTGTTTATTATCGTTACTGTTCATTAACTAAACGTTGTGATTATAATAGTATAAAAAAATTTAAGAAAGATAATTGCAGCACTGTATCGTTTTAAATTTCAATATTATCGATTGAAGGTCATTCGTATTTTTGTTTAGACTGTGTAATAAAATAGTAGTGAAAAATTAATTTTTGTGTAATATTTGCTGTACTTATTAAGTTCTAATTATTAATAGTTCTTAATAATAAGCAATAAGTAAGTAATTAATTTTGATATTAGATAAATTTATACACTTACTAAAATTTTGAAAATTTAGAAAAACATGGGGCGCTCTAAGCATTATACTGAAGAAGTTCATAATTTATTTATAAATCTTAAAAATCATGGTAAAACCTACAAACAAATATAAGAACTGGTTGGATGCTTACCAAAAATGAGTGGTAATGCTTTAAAAGGAATACCCAAACCATAAAAACGTAGAAATAAAAGATCAACTACCGTTATAGAAGATCGTCGAATAGTATCGTTAGCGAAAAACGAGTCATTTATTACTTCTAGAAAAATTTAAAAAAGGCTAGAATTTAATGTTAATACCTCAACTATTCGAAGACGATTAACACATGCCGATTTAAATGCAAGAACATTTAGAAAAGTGCCACTTTTGAGTAAAAGACATTTCGAAAATCGTTTCAAATTTGCACGTATGCATGCTACTTGGCATAAAGAAAAAATGGCAAAATGTTTTGTGGACTGATGAAAGCAAAGTTGAAATTTTTGGTTCTTATGTTCGTAAACAGTATGTTAGAAGACCAACGGATGCAGCATATAAGCCACAATTTACATTAAAGACCGTCAAACATGGAGGTTCAAAAATAATGATATGGGGTTGTTTTTCTTACTATGGTCTTGGGCCAATACATCGCATAGAAGGTATCATGGATCGGTTTGTATATGTAAAAATACTTGAAGAGATTGTGCTGCCTTATGCTAAAGAGGAATTACCGTTAAATTTTTTGTTTCAGAAGGATAATGATCCCAAACATAAGAGCACGTTAGCCAAATCGTGGTTTAATGAGAACAAAATCGATGTGATGGAGTGGCCAGCACAATCCCCCGACTTCAATCCGATTGAAAACTTGTGACTTAATGTTAAACAAGCAGTTTCTGAAAATAATCCAAGAGGTTGTAATTAATTGTGGGACGTAGTACAGTCAGCATGGCATAATATATCTGTCGAACGATGTCAGAATCTTATTAATTCCATGCAACGAAGATGCTTGGCGGTTATTATAAATAAAGGTTATGCCACAAAATACTAATGTAGAGCTTCAAAAAAAAAATTGTTTTTGTAATAAAATTTAATTATTTTTTGACCTTTTCATGAAAAATGATTTTCACTACTATTTTATTGCACAGTATAAAAAAAAAAAACCAACGACCTTCAATCGATAATATTGAAATTTAAAACCATTCAGTGTTGCAATTATCTTTCTTAATTTTTTTTTATACTATTATAATCACAACATTTAGTTTATGAACAATAACAATAAAAAACAAACAATAGAAAAATATATTTTGTTGTTCAAAGTTTGTTGATAGAAAAATAAAATACGCACTCCTATTTTACTGCACACGACTGTACAACAGGCAATATCAAATAAAGAAAGTATGCTTCAAATTTCTATGGTAACTTCAAATTTCTATAGTAACTTTAAAACTAACTGTTAACAACCAAACAATCTGGTTAAACGAAAGATTATCAAATACTCACTTTTGTTGACCAGTTAAACTTCAATACAAAAATGAGTTCAAGTTGCTTTGTGTCGAGGAAGAGGATAAGTTAAGACCCAAAGCTTTAAATCTTCAAAAATGATTGATTAAAGCAGGAAAGACACAAAGTCAGTGGTTGGATTTACTTGTTTTGATTTACTTAGGTTGATTTTACTACGTTTGATGGGATGGTAGTGAATGTTAAAACAGATAATAATTTTACTCAGAGACACAACTGATTTAATTATTTCTCCTTACAAGCGGTATGCAATACCACCTAGTGCTCACAAATTTTTGGAACAAGGAGTTCAGATATCAGGATCTTTAAAACTTTCTCTTGGATTCAAAAGAGTCTCAAGAGGCTTTAAACAAAAGAAACTCAAAATGTCAAGTTCATCTACTCATTCGATGTTATCCACTAATTTTATCTTCTTTTTTTTGTCAAATACAAACGGTTCAATGTAAAAGAACTACAAGACAATTTCCTTTCGCTGCTGAAAGTTGAACAGCTAGCAAATTTAGCAAATATATATTTTTAATGTGTTTAAGAAAATTAATATAATTTAAATGCAAAATACTATTATATTATTATTATTTTTTCCTATTTTATTAGGAAATATATAGTATGATCTTAGTATGACGTACGCACACAATAAACTAAACAATATTAGACTAGTTGTCCGAAATATCCATCAGCATTCTAATAGCACGCAGATAAGAGTAGTAAAACTCTATTTTAGACCTAAAAATTTATTCTTTTACCCTTAGTTTATTAAATAAAATATATAAAATACAAAAAAGAATGCAGGTAAATCCTAAAAATTTAAATGCACTCAATCTAGAATAGTTCAAAGTATTAAGCATATCTATTAGAAAGCATAAGAAACAACATTGCTAAATGAAGTTGTTAAAACGATTGCAAATAATAAAATAAATATTATAAAATATCAATTCGACATGCGTTCGATATATTATTCGATTTATTATTTGATTACAGGTTTTTTTTACTATGTATCAACATCATTTAAAAACGATTGTTATGAAAATATCCAATAGAGTAATGTATCAAAATAGCTTGTTTAGGCTTTAAAATGCTAAAACTTTAACTTTATTTTTTAGACGTAACGCGCGCATAAACATGTATGCGCACCTTGTACGCGTGAAAGCTGCTAATGAAATTTTTTTTTTTAATAAATTTGAATTCTTTGCACAGTTGGTTAGTAGGTGGACAAAATGGAAAAAATA